CTCCATGAACTAAGAAGAGGAATTTACTTTAGTTTTGTCCTGTGATGTTCGTTCCTGGGCATCGCAGCCAGCTTTGCAGGCAACTGTGCTGTCTGAAGTTTCATTGTAGGCTTCAACACAAGCTGGAGAGAAAGTGCTTAATCAATTAACAGAACATAAAACAAATGACATTAGTATATAATATGGTACAGAGAAAACAACTTTTTAGGATATAGCAGTAGTAGTCTCAAAACTAATACAAATGAGAATAGGAAGGAAGGAGAGAGAAAATGGAGAGGGAGGGAGGGGGGAGGGGGAGTGAGCTCAAAGGAGTAAGTGCTCAGGCACCACATCAAACACACATGTACTCAAACCCTAAATAGGACTTACAATTGTAACACGTCGTCTTTACAGGATTTGCGTCCTTCCCGTCCACTGCATTGCCATGGCCTGGCCCGTCAGAGACAAATTCGCTGATCGTGTAGAATCGGCAGCCTCGCTCACAGGCATCATTGTTGCTACTCTGAAAGATTGAAAAGGATGCAATTAGCTTACTTTCTCAAGATTACAGCATAGGGGAAGGAGTTATGTGGAGAATTGAAAGGTGCAATATAAATAAAAAATGACAGAGGAAGATGGGCTGCAAAAAGCTGAAATTTATGAAGATATGACACATAAGAATTGAATGAGGGGGGGGTAACAAAAAAGGCAAAGGAAGATGGAAAAACTGAAGAAGGTAAGAAATGCAAGTGAAGAAGTAAATGGGAAAGAGGAAAATGATATGAAGAAAATGGAGATAAACATAAGGGAAAAAAAGAAGAGAAGAAAATGGTAAGTATGAGAGAGAGAGAGAGAGAGAGAGAGAGAGAGAGAGAGAGAGAGAGAGAGAGAGAGAGAGAGAGAGAGAGAGAGAGGATTAAAAAAGGAGTTTAGAGGAAACCTAACTGTTAACTGATAAGATTGCTACAAGATTAGCCAAACTAAACAGTTCTCAACATTAGGTATTCCAAAAAAAGATTTCTACTATCAAAGATTCTACAAGGAGAAGAGGAGGAGGAGGAGGAGGAGGAGAGGGTAGGGGAATTGAGAGGAAAGGGAATGAAATACAATATGGAAAAATGAAACGTGGGAAGAGGAGATATAAGAGGAAGAGAAGAAAGGGAAAGGGATGTAGAGAAAAAGGAGAGATTAAAGGGGGGGGGGGGGTGTTGAAGAGGAGGAGAAGAGGAAAGAGGAGGTAGAAGAAGAGGATGATGATGATGATGATGATGATTCAGGTTCATGATCATAAAGAGGAGGAGGAGGAGAGGGTAGGGGAATTGAGAGGAAAGGGAATGAAATACAATATGGAAAAATGAAACGTGGGAAGAGGAGATATAAGAGGAAGAGAAGAAAGGGAAAGGGATGTAGAGAAAAAGGAGAGATTAAAGGGGGGGGGGGGGTGTTGAAGAGGAGGAGAAGAGGAAAGAGGAGGTAGAAGAAGAGGATGATGATGATGATGATGATGATGATGATGATGATGATGATGATGATTCAGGTTCATGATCATAAAGAGGAGGAGGAGGAGAGGGTAGGGGAATTGAGAGGAAAGGGAATGAAATACAATATGGAAAAATGAAACGTGGGAAGAGGAGATATAAGAGGAAGAGAAGAAAGGGAAAGGGATGTAGAGAAAAAGGAGAGATTAAAGGGGGGGGGGGGGTGTTGAAGAGGAGGAGAAGAGGAAAGAGGAGGTAGAAGAAGAGGATGATGATGATGATGATGATTCAGGTTCATGATCATAAAGAGGAGGAGGAGGAGGAGGAGGAGGAGGAGGAGGAGGAGGAGGAGGAGGAGGAGGAGGAGGAGGAGGAGGAGGAGGAGGAGGAGGAGGAGGAGGAGGAGGAGGAGGAGGAGGAGGAGGAGGAGGAGGAGGAGGAGAGGGTAGGGGAATTGAGAGGAAAGGGAATGAAATACAATATGGAAAAATGAAACGTGGGAAGAGGAGATATAAGAGGAAGAGAAGAAAGGGAAAGGGATGTAGAGAAAAAGGAGAGATTAAAGGGGGGGGGGGGGTGTTGAAGAGGAGGAGAAGAGGAAAGAGGAGGTAGAAGAAGAGGATGATGATGATGATGATGATGATTCAGGTTCATGATCATAAAGAGGAGGAGGAGGAGGAGGAGGAGGAGAGGGTAGGGGAATTGAGAGGAAAGGGAATGAAATACAATATGGAAAAATGAAACGTGGGAAGAGGAGATATAAGAGGAAGAGAAGAAAGGGAAAGGGATGTAGAGAAAAAGGAGAGATTAAAGGGGGGGGGGGGGTGTTGAAGAGGAGGAGAAGAGGAAAGAGGAGGTAGAAGAAGAGGATGATGATGATGATGATGATGATGATGATGATGATTCAGGTTCATGATCATAAAGAGGAGGAGGAGGAGAGTTGGGACAAAAGGAAAGAAAAAGGAATAAGAGAGAAGAAAAAGAGATAAGTTGGAAAATGAGACAGGAGGAAAGAGAGAAAGAGAAAGGTTTGGAAAGAGATGGAGAAATAAAAAAAAGGGGAAATAAGAAGAGAAAAAAAAAATGTTGAAGAGTGAGACAGGGGGAAAGGCAGGGAGGGAGGGAGGGGGGAAAGGCAGGGAGGCAGGGGGGGAAAGGCAGGGAGGGAGGGAGGAGGAGGAGGAGAACGAGAAGAAGAAAGAAAAAAAGAAAAGAAAAGAAGAAGAAGAAGAAGAAAAAAAAAAAGGCTGAAAAAGAGAGAGAGTAGTAGTAGCATGAATGATAAAGGTAATGATAAAGAGATAGAGGAGGAAGAAAGAAAAATAGTAGGGTGCAAAAGCTGAGGTGAAATAGCACAATGATTACAGTGATTAATGATAATGATGTTGATGATACTGATGATGAGTGGTGGTAGTATTAATAAAGTTGAAATAAGTAAGGGCTTGCCACTTAGAGTTGCTGTGCAGTTCAGGCATAGGAAGGCTTTAGGGGTGAAGAGAAGAGAAGAGAAGAGAAGAGAAGAGAAGAGAAGAGAAGAAAAGGTCTTGTGGGTCTAATTACTACAGAAAACTACAGGTACACTGAGGAGCAACTATTCTATTAATGCATGAACTGTTTCTTCCACAGTTTAAGTGGGAATGATGGGGTGTACTAAGCTGAACCCATGGGAGATATGAACTGAACGAAAGTTGTGAGACATCATCATCCCCATGATGATGAAGGGTTTGAAGCAGGGAAAGGGGAGAGGGGGAGCTTAGAATAATACAACATGTAGAAAGGGGGAGGTGGAGCTAAGAAAAATATAGCTAATGTGAAGATGCAAGGAGTATAATGATATGGATGAGGCTGGGGATAGGAATAAAGAGGGGAACAAGTGGGAGAGGAAAAGAAGGAAGAGGAGGAGGAGGAGGAGGAGGAGGAGGAGGAGGAGGAGGAAGAGAAACAGGAGGGAGAAAGAGGAAGAGAAATGGAAGGGAGAAAGAGGAAGAGAAATGGAAGGGAGAAAGAGGAAGAGAAATGGAAGGGAGAAAGAGGAAGAGAAATGGAAGGGAGAAAGAGGAAGAGAAATGAAAGGGAGAAAGAGGAAGAGAAATGGAAGGGAGAAAGAGGAAGAGAAATGGGAGGGAGGAAGAGGAAGAGAAATGGGAGGGAGAAAGAGGAAGAGAAATGGGAGGGAGAAAGAGGAAGAGAAATGGTAGGAGGGAAGAGGAAAAGAAATGGGAGGGAGAAAGAGGAAGACAAACAGGAGGGAGGAAGAGGAAGAGGTTTTTCTTGTTGATTACCATCCCAAACACAATACACGAAAAGAACAATCCAAATTTTCCATGGACCAGACTAGAACACCTGTCTGTTTTAACTGACAGGTGTTCCCATATTCCACAGGACCTAATGGTGCATCACCACTTCACCTGGCAGACAAGTTGATGCCCAGGAATTGCCATATAGTTGCCTTAATTCATAACAGGTCGCTTTCCCTTGGTTGGCGAGGTCGCAATACTACCCTAAATGACATCCCTTCACATGACGCACATTTCCTCCCTTATACTCACGGAAAAATGGGCGACAGGTGAATAGAGCTTTGTGCAGGTGTCTGTGCACGTGTCCTTCTCTTCCTCAACCGTGTGCAAGGTCTCGGCGGCCAAAGAAAAGGCCAAGAGCGAGAGGAGAATGCTCGCTCTGCACAGCATTCTCGCCATCTTTGTTTACGGTGTGACGTCACGAAAACGTGTCCGAATCTGTGTTTTTTTTTCTCCCTCTCGTTGTGTGAGACAAAATCATGGATCTTCTCTTTTCTTCTCTTTTGTCGTGGTTCTTATAGTAGAATTCAATCGTCAAGGAAAGTTTTATGAGTCAATTTCGAGTTACATAGCAGCCTTCTTTAGTGTGACCACCAGTGACACTTGATAGATTTCGGACAAGGTCAGGTGTGGCAAACACCTGTGAACCAAAACAAAAAATACTCTTTTCTTTGTATCATAACAGCTGTTCTTTGTTATGATTGCTGCTACTTCCAATTTCCCTCCCCAAAAAAACGAAATAAACATAAAATAAAAATGCATACCGTTTTACACCTAACAGCAAGAATGCGAAGTTCACATTCCTTCCCGACAGCGAAATAACAGAACCAGTGAAGGTATTATATCAAAGCCGTAAAGTGACCTTGGCGACCACAGAACCTTATCATACCATTCCAGAAATATTTACAGTTAACCCACGACAGAGAACGCCTACTCAGCCGAAGTATAACATGCCTGGTATACTAATCTCTAAATAAAGTGGACAGAAATTTCCTGATGACAAATTCAGCACTAAATACACCGTGGGGCTACTTTCTTTTGTTAAATTTCTCTAAGACACACGTAACAAGGTCGGAGTTCCGCTGCACAAAATATGATCAATGGTCTTTAAACGTGCGGGCGCGACAGGGAGACAGGGTAGAGAGAGAGAGGAAAGAGAAGAGAAGAGAGGAAAGCTAGAGAGAGAGGAGAGAGGAGAGAGGAGAGGAGAGAGAGAGAAGAAAGGAGAAAAAGAGAAGAAAGGAGA